TCGAAACTTTGGCAAATCCACAATTTCGTTTCCCTCGACAATGTCAATTAAAATAAAGTCCTCTCCGATTCCTCTTGCGAAGAAACCTTTCAGGGATTTCCACGGAAAATCAAACAAAATCCCCGTTTCCGGGGAAGCCGACGCAAAGCATAAAGTATCGCCGCGAATTCGCTACTAGAACTCGACTCCGCGATATTTTGTTTAACATCTCCCCATCCATGGGGTCGAAGTTCGTCCGGCTGTTTATTGCCTCGCGGACTTGAGCCTCGAGCGCTCATCAAACTTCGTGCATCCAATCGGGGATGGATGCCGGTGGTTGTTGCGCGAAACTTGAGTATCTGCATGCTGAACGATTGGAATGGATGTTCAATATGTTATTAATATTTCACCGACCAATTTTAATCTTCGAACGAATTTTTTCCGTGATCGAGAGAGAATGGAATTTTAAATTAAGTGGGATGGGAAATTATAATGAGATCTTTAAAAATTGATGAGCAGAGGAAAAAACATGATGAATATAAATAGTTTTATTGTATTTTTTTTTTTTTTTTCGTTATTTCGTGATATTTCGTGGAACAAAAAGTATATAATAAAAATCCAGACCGATATTTTTTTCACTAAAATGTACTAATGTTAATGATTCTATAATGATTCTGTTCTTAAATAAAAATAGGTGAATAGAAAAATTTTTGTAAAAACGAAGGAATTAGTGAGAATTAATATTTTTAAAATTTACACAGAATAAGTTTCGTAATAAGACTATTTAATATTAATATTCTTATTGCAAACTTATAAAAGCTATGAAATTACAAAAACTATTTTATGTTATTTTATATTTCAAACGATTCAATTTTTCTTTATTAAAATTAAATAATCTTTTAAAGAAAAGAGAAAACGATCATCAAGAACGTATATCAAGAACATCTCTTAAATCTTCGAAAATTCTCACTCATAGTTCATACTTTCTCAACTACTTACGCTTCACAATTCCTTCACGAAAAACATAAAAAGAAAAAAAAATAACAGTCTCACATGGCAAGTCTCATATATTCTCTTTGTGGCAGACAATTATCAACTTTTGTTAATATATACCGCGACACACGTTTCATATCGCGATGAAAGTGAATGATTTAGCTGAGATCCTAATTAATTAATATCACTAGATCTACTCCAGTCCGCTCACCGTTCTCCCATGAATGTTCTCATTAGACTAACTCTCATGAACGCAAACATTCGTGTGCCTAAATATCCAGTGATTCGTTTGTTTCCACAAATTTCCACAGAACATTTGCAGTCTGCCACGATCGCTCGATCATTATTATAATCGCGGCAACGACCGCGTATACACTCCCACTCTCTAGATCTCACCAAAGGTAAGTAGTTTTAAGCAGCTTATGAACTGTATAAGTAATAGACATGCTCTCCTTCCGATCTTCTTAGTTCTTTACTATCTTGACTTCCAGTTACTTTTGAGAACAGAAAATTGTTTTCATGGTTAAAATTGAACCAATGGAACGGCAGAAATTTTGGCGAGACGAACAAATTCTGGAATTTCGAAAGTGGATGTCAAGAGATGGCGCTTCGAGCGTGATCGACTTTGTTCTTTAGCAAGACTTGATTCGTTTCTGTTTTTAAATATAGAAATTATTAGTTTTTTTTTAAATTTGTTGATATTTATATAGATTTGTGTTAATAAAATGGTGAAAAAATGGATAACAAATGAAGAAAATGGAATGAAGAATAAGAGGAATCGGAAAAGTGATATTTATAATGAAGAAAAGATACTTAGTTTTTTTTAGGTTACGAATTTCTTGTGATTTGTGAAAAGTGTTAGTAGAATAGTGGAGAAATGAAATATTCTGTATTCTTTATTTTTTTCCACGTGAATAATGTGAACTCGAAAAAAAAGAATTGAATTTTTTTCATTTTGTTTTTACAATAAATTTAAAAGTGATAACTTTAGAAAAATGAATATATGCAGTCATTCGCAGAAATATTCGTATCCTTACGTTATAAAAAAATTTATCTTATCTGAAAATTCTGATTTTATTGAAAACTTTAAAGTTTAAAATCATAAATTTTAATAAAAAAACAGAATCAATTTATAATATTTATTATTATATCTTTCCTTATTTATCTATAGAAGAATCATAAATCAGGAAATAGAATACTGTTGTCGAAACTTAATTTGACAAAAGAATTCAAGGAACATTTTTTTTAGATCGATGCCATGGGACTATTTCTTTAAGACTTTAATTAAAAATCGAATATAATAGTATTTCTATTGAAAAAAATTCGATTACGTCAATCCCGTTACAAATTTATTCTAATTATTTCTTTCCAATTAACACTCTTCCTTCTGAATCTTTTTATTCTGCTTTATAACACTTGGAAACAGAGAATTTCTCCCTGTTACCAAGAATAAGATCAGGAATAAAGATAAAAAACACATGCAATCAAGTAGGTAGACATGATTTATGCAAATTAATAATAATATATTTTTTTATAACAATGTTATATTTAAATTTTGCACTTACAAGCATTACTTTTGAATAATTAATTTCATTTCTATAAGACTTCATTTAGAATGTAAATGACTTTCTATAAATCTATCTTTAAATTAGATCGTTTTTGAGAAAAATTAAAATTTTCTAATGAAAAAATTAGTATTAAATCATAAATTTTAATCAATTAATGTCTATAATTAATTTGCTAAAATGTGATAATAACATTAATTAATACTATTAACATAACTATCTAATTTAACCTAACCTAGAAAAATACTATACTTAATTCCATAAAATAATAACAACATAATTAAGACTTTAGAAAGAGCCTTATCAAAATTATAAGATTTTATTTGTAAAGTCTCCTTTTATTTGCAAGATTTCTCTATCATCATTGAAAAAAATTTCAATTTTTACGTTTTATCCTCTTTTCCACTTGCAGAGCCATAAAGAAAAAAGTTGGCCAGCCGGTGAAATAGCCTCCCGTCAATCAAAAACATACGAAATATGGCACAGAACTGTCTTTGTTCTACGCACTCGAAATCGTGCTTCGACCAGGACGAATCGTTGCTTTTTCTGCCCATTCATCCGATGTAATATTCACGGTGCAACAGCGAGAATACTCGCGCGAATCATGCATAAACGCAAGAATGCGCTTTAGTTATCGAAGAATTTTGTTCTTTTGCTTTATGTTTTCATTCTGTAATGTATATATAGATATTCTTTGAATAATACAATATTTCAGCTTTTATATGGAAAATCTTTTTTAAAAAATTCTGGTATAATTAAACAGAATATGAAATTAATCAGGTAATTTTGTGTTTTTGATTTTATGAAATTTTGAATGAAGACTTTTAATAATCGTAGGATAACACAAAAAATTAAAAATTAAATTAAAATTAATATTGAATTTGAATTAATATGGTAAAAATTGAAAAATTACGATAAAAACGAATATTGTGTTCAATTTTATAAAAGATTTCAGTAATTGTAGAATAATTCTAATCTTGAATTTAATGGAAAGATCATCTCGTGATGATATAAGAAAATTAACTCAGAAAAATGAAGTCATAATAAAAAATTAAATATAATTTGGAATATAGATTAAATCGAATTACCTGTTTGAATAATAGGATGAAAAATTGCATATAAATAATGCTGAATTTTATGAAGTAAAACATAATAATTCTAGGATAATATTACAGTGAAAAGTTACAGTAAATACTGAATAACACAAAACTTGAGTTGCAAGGAGGATAAAATAGCACTGTAAGAAGTTGCGACAAACTTTGAAGCAATATTTGAATTAAAATCTTTCGTATAAAAAAAAATTGAAGTGACGATCGAATACAATTACACAATTACAATTACATTATTGCATTATGAAGCTTAATAAAAATATTTTTAAAATAATTTAATTTATAATATTTCCAAATATATTGAAAAAAGAAATATTTTGAATTCCAATTAAAAATATTACATAATACTCTTGTGTACAAGCCAAGAAAACGAATCGATAATGGTAAACAGCCTCCATATATTATGCATCTGATAAAATAAACGGTCTCGCGTGACTTCCGGCTCGATTGTACCATACAAGAGCTCTTATACAAGTCGAAACAACGTTTAGACTGACTTACAGAATGGCTGAAAATAAATAGATACGGCAAACCAAATTATTTACGTGATATATTGAAATATTTATTGAGAAGAGTCTACGTATGCAATTTTAAGAATGTGTGTATGTCCATTTTGCTGGAAACCGACGACTCAATATTGTTTGAGGATGAATTTCAAGCTCGTTTAGAGAGTTGAGCTTGCTGGAAGGATTAGTCTCGCGAGGGTCGAAGTTTGTTGGTTTTGGCGGCTTGTACAAAAGGGAAGGAGGTGGTAAAGGAGTTGTTGCATTGTGTCGAGATTCCGATACGTCGATACAGATGTTTTGGTTCGTGCAAGACAACCAACTACGATCAAACGATTAAGCAAGGAAATTAAATCGAAAGTGAATTTGTTGTCAGCTTAAACGAATAATTGGTTTAAACGGAGGTTTCTTAAAATTAGTATAGTAATATTTATTGGTGAAATTATTCTTAATGTTATTTAAGACGAATGAATTAAATAAAATTTAAAAAAGGTAAGGTAAGGAAATTTAGGAAATTCGATAGAATCTTAAACTTTCAAATATATTAATAATATGTGTTAACTCATTCTGAAATTGTAAGAATCAGTATTACTGATTTCTAAACATTTGGCACAATAACACTCATGAAAAATCTGAAGAAAAATTCTCTTTCATAATTCTAATTCATTAAGAAATCCAGAAACATTATCAACACATAAAAATCAATACAAATAACTATCTATATAATAACAACTATCTATTCTTAAATCTTAAAAAATTTTCTTAATCAATATTCATCCATAGATCAATACTTTCATTGCACTATTCCTTAAAATAATTCTAATCCCTCATTTTTTTTTTTTCATTTACAGACCACGGAAGTCTCGGTCGACGTAGTCATGTAAATTCAGTGGTCCACAAGAGCACAGTGGCGGCTGATCTCCTCTTCAGACTCGGGTAGCCGAACGGTTAGTTGAACGGCCGGGTCCCCGAATACGGCCTGGTCTAACAGGAAGCTCGTCGCGCCTCCAACCGCGAAGGATCGGGTGATGAGCTCAGGATACCAGGTGACCGGCCCCATCACAACATGTTCCGTTGCAAGATTCGCATTCACACGTGTCAAGTGATACTGTTCACGTCCCTGGTATGGTTCCTGGTGGACGTGATGGTGCTGATGCTCTATTCGGATTGCATCGGAGGATCCGGATGGGGTTGCACGGAGAACGTGAAGCAGCAACAATCGCTCACTGAGGAAAGTTTGCCCCATTCGAAGATTGATATAAAAGAAGAGGAACAGATCCAGCCGGTTGGCCAGCAGAGTAAGAAACGGTACAAACAACCGGAACTGCATTTGTGGAGGCCAGCTAGGGTAGTTAGGGATAACAAGGGGATACCCGGCGAGATGGGCGCGGCGGTGCACATCTCGCCGGAAGACGAAGCAAGGCAGCAGGAGCTCTTTAAATTGAATCAGTTCAACTTGATGGCGAGCGACATGATCTCGTTGAATCGGTCCCTCAAGGACATAAGGCTGGAGGGATGCAAGACGAAGAAGTACAGCAAGTACCTGCCGGATACTAGTATCGTGATAGTATTCCACAACGAAGCGTGGAGCACGCTGCTGAGGACCGTTTGGTCTGTCATTAATCGGTCTCCACGCACGTTGCTCAAGGAGATCATATTGGTGGATGATAAGAGCGAGCAAGGTGAGAATGATTTCGCGGAACTGGATTGACATGGCTTGGAGGGCTGGTTTGAATAGATGGGTGTGGTTTTGATTGAGTTTATGTTGCAATGTTAAATGCTTCTCTAAATATATGGGCGCGATACTATGAATTGCGCAAATTGTTTATTTGGTACATAGTATGATAGGATTATATAGGTAGTTTTATAAAAATCGTATGAATTTTTATTCTAATAATAAAATGATTAAATAAAAATAAAATTATAATTAGCATGTTACTTGATATTATAGATAAAATATTCACCACGTTATTTTTGAATAATATAACAATAAATATTTAATAATACAATAAGATTTCATTGCAATCGATAACTGGAATATTTATTTATCTAGAAACTATATTTTTAAATATAAAAAATAAAACTACTCAATCTAGCACAAAATCATTTTATTCTATACAATAATTGCTCAAAATCTGATTCAATAATTCCTTGAACATTTTTTTTTTTAACATTGTAATTTTCACATTTTCCTATTTACAGTTTCTTTCATTGAATTTAGAGAAATTTCGCAGACATTTTTAGGACACATTCGATCCATCCGAAAGCTCGAATGATCGTGCACTCTTCTTTCAAACGCTCAGCCCTTTCAAACATTTCCAACGTCAGCATCTTATAGTCACTCTCAATAAATATTCACGTCAAAGTTTCTTTTCTTACTTCAATATTGTAAAAGTAATAGGAAAATATAGAATCCTTTTATCAAGTCAACCAGTTCCAATTGCGGCAATAATAATTTATTATTCAATGAATTCAATCGAAAAACCATTGGCAATATGGTCAACGTCACTTTCACTTCTCTACGCCTTTTTGCTCATACAATGCACTCGATCCGCAGATCACTTGAAGCAAGACCTGGAGCACTACGTAAAAAGGTTACCAGTCCCGACATATGTATACCGTACTGAGAAGAGATCGGGTCTAATCAGAGCCAGACTGCTTGGGGCGAAACACGTGAAGGGACAAGTTATAACGTTTTTGGACGCTCATTGCGAATGCACAGAGGGTTGGTTGGAACCTTTACTGTCTAGAATCGCTGAAGACAGAACCACTGTTGTCTGTCCCATCATTGATGTGATTAGTGACGATACTTTCGAGTATATTCCAGCCAGCGATATGACGTGGGGTGGTTTCAATTGGAAACTGAATTTTAGATGGTAAGAATCGGTGAATTAATTCTTTAAGAGATTATATCTTTTGAAGTTTAATATGTAAAGCAATATTTCGCATTATAATTTAATTCATTAATAAATATTTAAATTATTGATTATGAAAAAACGTAATTAAATTATTAATAGAAGAATAAAATAATTAAAATATTAAACATACGTAAATATGAAATATCTTTTAATTTTTTATATGCTATTATTCATTATTTACTATTATACTATGTATAATATTATTTTCCTAATTTTTTAAAAAAGTATTTAATTTATTTTCAGAAATGCATGCGTCACTTTTGAATGGAATAATCTATCGTGCATCATTGTTATTAACATCATATTTTATAAAGTTTATGCAATTGAAATATTTATAATACTATGATATTTTTTTTTTTTCAATCATTAAAACTTTATTGTGTACTGAATTTCTGTATGATAGATATTGTATCCATTGAATTATTAATATGAAGTTCTATAAATTTTCAAGGTATAGAGTGGCACAAAGAGAAATGGACAGAAGATTAGGAGATAGAACAGCTCCTCTAAGAACACCAACAATGGCCGGCGGATTATTTTCTATTGATAAAGAGTATTTTTACGAATTGGGGGCGTACGACGAGGGCATGGATATTTGGGGCGGTGAAAACCTCGAAATGAGTTTCCGGGTGAGTATTGATCGATGACAGTATTTACTTTATGCGGTCAGTCTATTTAAATGAAAATGAAGTTACGAAACGTGGCCAAGTAAAAAGAGTATTGAATATGAAATATTTATATATATTTAATTTTTTTTTAATACAGATTATACTGATTGAAAATTTTCCAGGTGATTCTGAAAAAAAATTCGGAAATATTTATCACTTCCGATAATAAAAATAAAGATATTTGTGTATAAATTTTTTTTATTTGCTTTTATAGCTAATTTCTTCTCTCTAATGCTGTTCCACAAAAAAAACTTCTTCTATATCTATGTAATTGTTTGAAATTCTCTCTATGTATTTAATTCTGTAATGGTAAAGCTTAATTTGATAATTAACACTAGAATTTTAAAAATCAAATATTCAAAGATCTTGATTCTAATGTTAATTATAATCATATGATTTATCGCACGTTTGATTTTAATTATTGTGAAATATTTTAAATTTATAATTCCAAAATATAGAGGGTTTAGATAATGGTCATTGTAATCTTCGTTTGTGAAGTCATAAGTACCTTGTAGGTATGGCAATGCGGTGGGACGTTAGAAATCAGTCCATGTTCTCATGTTGGACATGTGTTCCGAGACAAGAGTCCGTATACATTCCCTGGTGGTGTCAGCAAAGTAGTTCTACACAATGCGGCTAGGGTGGCCGAAGTCTGGATGGATGAGTGGAGAGATTTTTACTATGCCATGAACCCAGGTTAGATAACAGCGTGTATCATTTTTTTTGTATACTTATTTCTTAATTATCAATTACCAATTAATAGATAACATCAAATAATAACATTAATTACTCAATAATCAATCTTCACAGTGTTTAAGTTTTGTTGTAGAAAAGTGTGCATTTTTTATTCTTTTTTTTTTTTTTATTAATTTTTAAACGAAAAAATATAATTATTTTAAGAGATTTTAAATAGAAAAGATAAAGAATAATTATAAGTTTGATGTTTGCTATTATAGTAAACTTAATGTGAATCGTTTACATATTGTTATATAGTATATATAATTTAATTCAAAAATAAGATTACAAAATTTTTAACGGGTATCTGATATGATAAATAATATAATATTATATTAATTTAATTATTTAATAATTAATATAATATTATAAATATAAAAATGTTATATTATAGCACACTTTTTTTTTATTTAGTTTTAAATAAAAGAATTGTTCGAGTATTAATTTAGAATAAATTAATTCTTATTCATTATCATCATAGTTAGTAGGATCGCGTAACTTTACTTATATGTTTGAAATTAACCCATAGCTATATGTAGTTTATTTATATTTGACTCTTAAAATTAATCTTAAGCGTGTTTATTAGTAATAATATTAACCAAATTTTTTTTTTTTACATTTACATTATAAAATTTTACATTAACATGTCTATGTACATGTCTATATCTATGTATGTAAATGTATCGTAATTACTATTACTATTATATATTTTTATCTAAATTTTTTCTTCTCATGTGTATGTATGTGAAACAGAGAGAGAAAGGGAGAGAGGGAGAGAGAGAGAGAGAAAGAAATATTGATATTTTAGTTACATTTAGCCATGAAATTTGATTTGCAGGAATATAATTGATTTCTTTGCATTTCAATATACTTTGGTATAGTCTTAACCACTCATCCATCCAGCCGACTAACAAAATGAATTTGCTTGCTTCTTTGTTGATACATTTTACGATAATATTATAGGTACCAAGAGAGAAGAACGAGCGTCCATCTGATCGAACTTCAAATATATTAGCTCTTTTTATTTTTTTTGGTTTTTTTTTTTTTTATTATAAATTATTTGTAATTGCTAACATACTAACAGAACTGAGTTGGTTAGATATGGATGTGTGGTGGGACATTGGAAATCGCAACGTGCTCGCACGTCGGTCATGTATTCCGTAAGTCAACACCATATACATTCCCTGGTGGTACCAGCAAGATAGTGAACCACAACAATGCGCGACTCGCAGAGGTCTGGTTGGACCAATGGAAGTACTTCTATTACAACATTAATCCAGGTAGCACTAACACCAGCATTTCTGGAAAGAAAATAGACTGCAATATCGCCAAATTCTTAAATACTTCTTTATGTATTTCCTGTTTGGTTTATTTTATCCTATCTCGCATGTTCTTTTTTCTATTGGATGGTACGCTTTTATAAGTTGCATTTAACTCCAAGCTTAGCAGTTAATTACTAGCTATATGCGCATATATCAGATACCCGTTAATATTAGGAAATTAATAGATAAGTTTTCTTTCTTTTTTTTTTTTTTTGTTCTTTTTTTAAGGCAAATCTCAAGAAAGAAGGTTAATAATAGTTAAAAAGGTTAAAAAATAAATAAAAAATATGATGAAAATATACATTCAATTTAAATTTTAATGTATTTTGAACAAGATTTCTTTCTTTAAAATTTGTAAAATTGTTTGATTAATATATAATAGCATAATTATTTTCAACAAGCAAGCATATAGCATTAGTACACCACACATAGCAATGTCTTTATTTTAGCACAAACTTTTGACACCCTTCTTTCAGAGAATATTCATATATATAATCACATTAATGCATTTTAAAAATTTTAAACTAATTATACTAATCAAGATTATTTATTTTATTATTTTATTTATAGGAGCTCGAAATGTAGCTGTTGGAGATGTATCTGAAAGAATTAAGTTAAGACAACGTCTTAAATGTAAAAGCTTTAGATGGTACTTGGAAAATATTTATCCTGAATCTCCAATGCCATTAGATTATTATTATTTGGGTGATGTACAAAATGTTGATACACAAACTTGTTTAGATACAATGGGTAGAAGAACAGGTGAAAATGTTGGAATTAGTTATTGTCATGGATTGGGTGGTAATCAAGTTAGTGTAGTTAAATTATTTTTAATTTTCATTAAATGTTAAATTCTTTAATTAATAAAATATAATTTTTTATTTCAATTAGGTGTTTGCTTATACTAAACGACAGCAAATTATGTCTGATGATATGTGCCTTGATGCAGCTAGTCCCCAAGGTCCTGTCAAAATAGTACGATGTCATGGTATGGGTGGAAATCAAGCATGGGTTTATAATGAAGAGGTATAACATAACTAATTTGAAAATAATTTTCATAAAATAATAATATAAAAATAGTAGTAATAAAATATACATTTATTTATAGACGAAGATGATCAAACACACTAATACAGGACACTGTTTGTCGAAACCTCGTTCAAACGATGCAATGCAACCTGTTTTAGCACCTTGTGATCCGCATAACATCGGTCAAAAATGGACCATGCGTAGTAAATTCAAATGGCAAGCCAGCTAATATGAGGTGTTTCTAAGTGCAACATTTATATGTAATACTTGTTGATCTATTTAATATTAATTCAAGAACTGATATTCAAGAAACTTCCGTATTTTGAAAAATCAAGAAAAAGACTAGTATTATACTCCATAAAAACAATACAGTATCATGTTTTGTCGACTTATAAATATCAACGGAGTTAATAGTGATCGTAAACGAGAAACTGAGAGATTGAAGTTAATGCTTTTTAGTTACATAGGATTTATTTACTGTTACTAGCAGTATTGTGTATTTACTGCCATTTTTCATGGTATGCCTTGATTAATAATGCACAAGTGTTAAAAAAAAAACTATTCCAATTGTGCGTGCATACAAGTGATACGAAAAGAGACATATGTGAACATTCTTTTTTTATTTTTTTTTTTTAAGTAAACAATAAAGAGGAAAGCATATCAGACCACTGTTATAAATAAATAATTGTTAATACAAAAAAGAGAGACATATTTGATAATATGGGATGAGTGCAATGCTGGATGATTGGAAAATATATCAGTGAAACACAGATATATTAATGGCATAAATGATACATTACTACAGAGAGTGAATGTTGAATTGCAAGTGGTATTATTGTGACACTATCGATTACGATTTAGAACTTGTATTGTACAATTTTTGCAGCAATTAGGGAAGAGCACTGAATCTTTTTATACTGATATTTCTAACAGTTCCTTGTTGCATCTCGTTCATATGATTTAGTTGTTATTTTCTTTTTATTCGTTTCGTAAATGGATGAATGTATTTATATCTGAATTCGCCATAGCAATATGAGATTAACGAAATATCGTTTAAGAATATAAGAAAACTATCGATTGTTATTCACTGTACTGTTATATTTTAAATATTTTCTTAAATTCAAGACAAAAAATGTCTTCCGTATTTTCTTAACAAAAAAAAGCTAGATATTTTTATGATATTCCTAATATCTTATATAGTTATAATTCTTCATAGATTCAGGCCCTTTTTGCTTTTTACATATTTGAAGCGTGCCGAAAATAGAGTGCAATATCCTTGTTAAATAAGAAACAATTTCCTGTAACTAATGTAAAAATAATTATATAATGTAATAATTGTTATCAGATTCTGGCGCCCTTCCCTTACATTATTATAAACTAAGATTAAATATCTTTCATATTTCAAAAAAAAAAAAATGAAGATAGTCAACATTAAACATAAAACATTTCTGAAAAATAATAACTAATAGTTATACTTTCTCAAACATGAGAAAAAATTAACTAATTCTACAACTTTAAATGAAAAAACATTAAACTACATTTATAATATTTAAAATATATATGACACTAAGAAATTTTCAATTTAGGAATTTTAACATCAAAGAATATACTCAATCTTATGTTATATGAAAGAATGGTGATGGTGCAACAAATTATCGTTTACAGCTTAATTATATATTTAATTATTTGTACAAGACAATAGTATTTATTTTTGTATAGGAGTTGATTTTTATTAAATCAATATATTATTTGAATGTGTTTAATTATATTAACAAAATTATTAGGTAATTTGTTAGTTATTTGAACTGATAAAATTTAGTTAAATTCAAGTGCACAAAATATAGAAAAAGATAACATCTATAATTGTAAACAATTTTTAATCTTATAACTTATTCAATGAATTGTATGTGAAAGAATCATATGTAAACTACTAGTATGTTTTATTATTTTTATTTTATTTCATTTTAAGCTAATATTTAGAATTGTTTATAAAAACTATATTAATGAAAATAATTGTAACAATTACATTGAAACATTAAAGATTACTTATTGGCATAGATATTCAAATTCATGAAATTTATTTCTAAATTTATTGCATATAAATTTATGTGCAATGTATGGCAAATGTATATATTCCTTAATAAAAAAGTCTATATTTTCTATTATTTATAAAAATTAAACACTGAAATGAACTTTAAAGACAATAAAGTACTCTACATATGTTCCATTAAGTTTAATATATATATATATAATATTTAATCTGATTAATAGTTTTTTAAAAAATTCCATATTTTTTTAAGCATTAATTAATTTAATAAAGATAATATATATTCATTTTTATAAAAAAAGTCTCATTAAAAAACTATAAGATTATATATTCATTGTAAAATTTAATTATAAAAGAGAAAATATGTAAGTGTAAGTACATGTATCATAGTTTTGATGTGCCTCTAAAGTAATTTCTAAATAATTCTTTCTAATAAATAATATGAAAACTTAAGTCTTATGTATCATGTGTTAAATTGTCATGAATCTATTAAATCTAATAAAAATGAATTTTTTTGTTTACTATTTCTTTATCGGAATAATACATAAATAATTTTCATTTTTTTAAATTTTAATTCATTAATATTTTATAAATTATTAATATTAGAAAAGGTAAAATAAAATAGACTAAATATTTATAAGAAATTTATTAAATTTATTTACTGTTCTTTAACTTCACGTAATCTTCTTACTGCAGATCTAACAGAAGCAGCAGCTGTTGTTGAATATACCCATGCACCTCCAGCAACAGTTCTTTTGCATCGTTTGCAAGACCAAATACCCACAACACTTCGTTTCATAGCATCCTATAACAAAAAAATAAAATTTATATATAAAAAAAATATATTTAATGATTTTTTATTAATATATTTTATGAAAATATACTTATAATATATAATAATTATGATATATTTTAACGAAAGTTCATATATAAAGATATAAAATTTATAAATATATAGTTAATTAATACCTTGCCACAAAATGTACAAGTATATTTACTATGCTGGGTAATTTCCATTTTTTTGACCATTTTTCTAAGGGAGGCACCATATCGAGTACCATATTTACCAGTGATTCCAACCTTCTTCGTGCGTTTTGCCTAATGAATAAAAACAAATGCATTCTATAAATTAAATAGTTTATCTTTTATAATCTAAATATGTCTGTAAATTATAATAATCATAATAATAGAACAAATATTGATTATTGATATGAAATTTTAATATAATTAAATATATAAGCATTTTAATGTAAAGGCATTTTATTAAATTACAAAGTATTTATTTGATACAAATAGGTTAAATTTAATTGTTTATATTAATTTTCGTATTAATAAATTTTTATTATAAAACAAATTAAATATATCATATTATTTAATTTTTATTGTATAATGATTAAAAATTTTATAATTTATACTTCATAACGATTAATTTAGTAAGATGAGAACATAACATTTTTAAAATCTATTTTTATACAAATTATTATTTTCAATTAATAATAATATCATAATATACAAATAAATACTTTGTCAATGACACTTTTCAACACGATACATTCAATTTCATCAATATTTCAATAGGATTTATAAAATATCTTTAAATAACGATTTTTACCATCTTGCAGAAATATGAGATACGTTCCAATAGATCCGGAAAAGAAGAAAGCACTATGAAGTCCAATATTCATTGTGCGTCTTACCGGAAATCACAATGAAATGGCGCATTCATGAAAAGCGCGAATTTAAATTGTGTTAGAAGATAATAAATGAACTCGTTTTCGTGTAATTAAATAAACATTATTATATTCTGCTTTATTATTGCATGAAATATTTAAATCTATCATCGAAATTAAATTAAATTATAGTTGTATTAAAAGCATTTATTTAATACAAGGATGTACAAGTACGGTGAATATGCAATCTTATTCTAGTCAAAAAATTTTCACGGACAGGTAGTCGCGCAGTTGACCTCAATACGGAACCGTTACATTTCGATCAAATATATGTTAGTATAAAGATTTGTTATCTCAGTTCGATCGTAGTTACAGAAAAAAGGATAAGTTGTGCAAACGTGCATGAGAACTCTCGAAAACCAGCCTGAAATGACGTAGCTAGTGGATCCCAGACTAGCCCGTACGTGTTAAATCAGTGTTGCTCACTGTTGGTGATCTGCAAACTAATAGCCTATAGTGATTCACTGATCGCTTATCACTTCGTGAAACCGCTAACCGTGGCACATATCGAACAAAAGTGCGAGAGTGTCATTTAGTAACGAAAACACCGACTAACGATGGTCGTTAAAATCTACATATCGGGCATCAGCGGAAACAAAGAAGTGAGTGTGAAAAACTAAAGAATATAAAAATATTTTATCCGAGAGCTAGGAACAAAAAAGAAGAGAGAATGTGTGCGTATATGTGAATTCGTGTATGTATGTGACTTGAAAGCTAGATTTACCGGGCACCTGAATTCTAACGATATTTCACGTCTACGTTGTATCAGATTACACTGAATAAACTTCACGGTCGAAATGTCAATTAATAATCGGACACTGTCATTTATTAGAGATTTTTATTGAATGTGACACGCGATGCAGTTTATCGATTGAAACGATTCATATTATGCGTCTATCAAAATGCGATTTTCTTTTGACTGGATACATTTGATATCAGAAAAACGTATGTTAGATTCAATTAACAAAATAGTACCAAATGAACAATATATTTTACATTATATTGAACTTATGAAATTTATGTATATATAAAAATGAAAATGTGGAGAAAAAATGAAAATGAATTTATAAATTAATTTAACAAATGAAAAAATATTTATGAAAGTCTTATTTCGAATTGAACTTTTTGATTAGTGTTTATATTTTTCATCATAACGAATACTTATCATATCTTATGTTTTTAATCTTTTGTTCGAGTTTTTATTCAATCTATTTTTCAGTAATTTTAAATTAAATTTTATTATTAATAATCACTGATATGATCATATTGGCATATGTTTTGTTCGAATTTGTTCGATATATTACTTTATATTGCACCAGAACATGAAATTATCGTAACTTATTTATCAAGTTTCGAAACTTTATCTCTTATTAAATAATAATATATTAAGATTAGATTATTTTCAAATAAAACATAAATATCATATTGAATTCTATTTTTTTTTTTTTTTTTTTTTTTAGGTAAAAAAAAGACAACAACGGGTATTAATGATATTAGATAGCAAAAATGTAGAATATGAAACAATTGATATAACGGAACCAGGGAAAGAAATGGAAAAAGAATTTATGCAAGCTAATAGTATCGCGAGAGAAAGTAAATATCCATTACCTCCACAAATATTTAATGAAGAAGAATATTGCGGGGTAATTATTGTTATACAAACTTTGAAATTTATAATTTTATGATAATAATAATGAAGAATAATATTTTGATTGTTTGTATAAAATTTTTATACATGATTTTTGAACTTTAAATAAATTTTAATAACTTTTACTTAAACTATAAATACTTATAATGAATCATTTTATAGGATTATGAAGATTTTGATTTGGCAAATGAAATAGATGAATTGGAAGAATTTTTAAAAGTAGCACCACCTGTTAGTGCAAAAGAAAATGTACTTGATTTAAATCAAAGTAAGGAAATTCAAGAAAATGGAAATACTACAAGTCGAGAGGTAGATATTATTAATAATAAATTTTATCTGGAAATTCCATAGACAATGTTAAATGTTATTTTATATATTATATGTATCTATATCATTATATGTATTATGTTTTTTTTTTAACTTTACTTCGGAGAATTTGATTTGTAATCATCTTAGTTATGTTTATTTGCCGGTTTTTTGTCCTTGGCACTAAATTTGTAACCTGTCTGTATTAACTACTACATGTTTATTTTAGCCCTCTACAGATAAAGAAGCAACTGCAGTAGAGGCAGAAAGGTAAGTTCTATAGAATATAGAAATATATATTATGTAGATTGCATAATTTTGTGATTAATCATATAGATTGAATAATTATTACTATTACTAAATATATGATTGTTATATATTATAATATATAAATCATTTAATTTTATTATATATAAAAAAATTGCCTTGAAAATAAAAATTTATTTTATTTTAATAATTTATTTATTTTTATTATTTTTATTTCTTAGTGTTGAAAAAAAGGACAACTTTACCAAGTGAAAATGTACAGTCAGATGAATCTAAATCTATAGAACATGATGGTGGAACAAATACTGAAGAATCTGCAGAACATACAGAAGAAAATGTTGAAAAAAAATGAAGAAAAATCTGATGATCAAGAAAAAGAAGAATAGAAGAATAAACCCATATAATTATGGGATATTTTATATTTCTTTGACATCCTTGATTTTTCACTGATAAGGATATTTTATAAAAACTATTTATCATATTTTTAAGGCTGAGTGAAGGTACTGCCAAAATAAGATTTCTGCTTTGCAGAAAGTTGAACAAACAGTATAAACAAAGCGATACTTTTATAGAAATATTTTATATTTGAAATCAAGTATGTTTTCACCATCAGATTTTTTATAGGTCTGACTAGAAAATAATGAATTTTATCCTTTTTCATATCAGTAGATAATATAAATTTTTTAATTTCTTATACTGATATTTTACATTATTTATATTGTAATTTAATTCTTTATTTTTTAAACACAACTTTAATAATGTGCTAGGAGTAATACATTTTCAGTATTGAGAATACCTTTTTTTTGTCCTATTATTTGTTAAAAATTAACAATAAATTTTAGATAGATACATACATCCTATTTATGAAATTACTTTTATTTTAATTTCAAATTTATTATTTAATAATCATTTTATAATTACATTAAATTGTTTATACGAATTTATTAAGTATTCTTGTGTATTTATCAGTGATCCAATTACAAATCATATATATTTACCGTTTATACTAAAAAACATTATTTCCATTTATATCAATTTAATTTTAAATTTTATCATCGTTTATTTGATTTTGTACAATAATTTCTGAAATGGCATCTTATTATTGTACAAGTTCGGACAGTACAACACTCAGTTTTGCATAAAATGCAATTCCTATAAAAGACGACACAATATTAGTTATAATAGTTTGTATTGATATTATACGCACCATCAATTCTTTATGGTGAAATATATCCTAAAATAATTCTCTACAATAAATTTTAAATAATTATTTCCTGGAAAATTAGGACTAATATGAAATTTCTTAGTTCTACGTGATATATATCTATCAACATCATAACGTGTTACGATTATATTTATAACTTAATTTTTATAAATGTTTCATAGCTAACTGATTTATTTTTTCTCATGCTGGAAATATTTACTTATGGGATAAGAATTAATGAAATATGAACAATTTTAAATTCGTTTTCGAAGGCCTATTTACAATTGTTTCTATAAAAATTGATATGAATTATATATATTTAATTATGCATTGTTATACATTCATAATTTTATGGTATACTCATTTATTGATCACATAGACGGGTATTAATCACGAACAAATTCGAAGCTTTATGCAAATTTTATAATAAGATAGATAAGAAGAAAAGATGTATGAAATTCATTATGTAAGAGATAAAAAGCCTGACTAATTTTAATATAGTGTATTGTGGCTTTTAAATATCAAATATATATTATTAAAATTAAATTAGAAAAAGAATTGAAAAGCTTTACACATGCGGAAAATGTCCATCACATTCTTATTATACATAGAATAATATTTATATATATTCATGAACAATAGGTGTTGGACAAGAGTATCACAGTTAATAAATTTTAACATTATGTATTGGAAATATATATTTACAAGAACAATATTCATTATACATGATATATATAAATCATGTCAATCACATACATTGTTACATACATATAAAAATTTACTAATAAATATTATAATAGAAGTTTAAAAAGTTTGTCTAAGTAATTTTGCATATAAAGTATTTTTCACTTATAATTGCATATATATTTTATAAAATACTAACATTTACAAATTCTTTGTAAAGTATTTTGTTACTAATTTAAAATTTTTAAAGTTTCAAGTTAATTTTCTATATTCTAGGAATGTTTTTTGGTAAGTAAATTTCAATTTTACTTTATATTATTTTATATATTTTTTTTTCTTTAATAATTATCAAATTAATATACTTCGCAATTTTTTTATGCATAAATTTTATATACAAAAATCTATTTAACAATATATATTCAAATACAATTATAATTTAATTTTGAAAATAAATATTTACTTTCTATTTAACAATGTCAATATGTGTAAAAATAAAACATATACAATTTTAAATATTTTTGAATATTATATTAAGAAATACATTTAGAAACAATTATAAATTGTTCAAGTTTAATGCATGAATTAGCTAATAATTATAATTATATCGTAAATTAACTAAATATTTTAATGGTATTGCATAATGACATTGAGAAATATATTTCTAAATTTTCTAATTATTGTCAAGTGAAATTTGTTGAGAAATAAAATTAAACTATAACATCTAAATAACGTTCATGACGCATTCTTCCAATATCTTTTTCTTGTTCGTTTGTAGTCTCTCCTACGATGAAACGAGAACAGCCTGAAAACAATAATTTTCAACGTGTTTTTGAAATATTTATGTAGACTATCTATAAGATAATTATCTACAATAGTAAAATTCTAAATATTTTCTTATAACATATTAAAAATAATAATTAAACAAGTTCAAAATTTATTTAAATGCAATCAAATTTCTTAATACTTAATAAAAAAAACAACTGTAAAAAAATATTTTACACAAATAACGAATATTATATTTATTCTTATCACATTTGCTTTTAAAATAGAACAGAAAAATAATATATATATATGTATTTATATTTATAAACGAATAAAAAAATAAATCATATATCATTTTTCATAAAGTTTTATTTATTTTAGATTGTGTTAGGTAATTCGTATTTACTGTGAAATTTTATTCATATTTTTTGAAGTATACATATTATACAATATATTTTCACTAATATAAATTTATTGCGAATGCAGTACTATTAAATGTTGAAAAGTACTCTGAGGTAACTTACAGTATAATAAGTGCACAAATATTGTTCGCAATAATAGACATTTGTGTACACTCAAATAATATAATATAATGCACATATGGTTTTCAAAATCACAGTTCTAGATAATGTAATGCAGCTCTTTTTGTAGGCACATTACAAGGTAAATTCTTTTAATATTATAATGATTTCAAAGTTTAAACCTTGCATGTTTTATAATAAGAAAAGAAAAAAAAAAGAAGAAAAAACGAAAAAAAAAATAAAATAAATAAAAAAATACAAAGATAACATAATAATTACATATGAACACAAAACTTATTGTTTAAAAGCTGCATCATCAATTCTAGATACCATTCAGCAATTACACAAAAAATTTGATTAAATATAAGTAATAATAAGCTTCAAAAACTTTCATTTTTCATTATTCGCAAATATTTGCATGTATTTTGTAAAAATAATTCTTTACTTGGCAAATTATTCTAATTACACATATATATGATTCATGGAAAATGAAATCATGTATAATATTAGTATTGGTAAGTAACATTGTCATACATTATTTCAATGTATGTTTTTAAAGAAATTATATATTTTTTTTCTATATTAGATATTATGTTAATATTTGTACTTATTCACACATCATGTTAATGCATTAAAACAAATAAAATTAGAATCAACAATTGATATTATTATACGAAAAATTAAAAAAAAATTGAAATGCAATAATTATTAATGCCAAACATGTTTGATGCAAAATATTATGTTTCATTATAGATATTAAATGTTTTATCTTTTGTCTTATTAATTTCATTGTAATGACCTATGTTTACAATAAAATACACATCTATCTCGGCATACAATACTATTTATGTACAAACTGAAGAACAAAATGATTAAACTAATTAATTGATATTTCATGATTGGATTTTTTCCAATATATATAAGTATATTATTCCTTAATAAGTATAGTAATAAATAATATTAATATTAAATACGTTTTGCAATACTCATTAAATCCAGTTTAAAATATGCTTAAAAATAAAATACCTTAATAATTTGCTTATTTATTATTATATAATTATTTTAAAGAAATTTATCTTAGAATAACTATTTGCACTTGTAAAATGTATGCTAAATAATTATGCAAATTGTACTGTTAATTAAGTAAAAATTGTGTCATTATTTAGACAATATTATGCATTATTTTATACTCTTTGTTACAATTATATGAAGTTATTGGAAATTATCCAATAATTCTTTAATAAGATTTTCAGTATTATAGTTCACATTATAAATTTATATTATTATTACAAATTTTATAAATTACTTTAGTAACTTTAATATGTTATGTTATAATAATATAAAAAATCAAAAAAAAAAAATTAATATTTGTTTTGTAATTTTGTAATTTTACAGAATTGTTTATGAAATTTCTAAAAGCTCACATCGCATATATACTTCTTTGTTAAACTAAATTATTAAATTAAAAAAATATTTAAAATTTAATCTTTTTTTTTGCAATTAAATTTAACAATTTAACAATTATTTTTCACTGAATTATAATTTTAATAAATGGTTACTTAAAATAAATTATTATTACATGTTGCGCATTATTTAATGCATATAATATTTTACTATAGAAATACTTGCTTCATTGAAAGTGAAAATATTGAAAATTTACATTATTCAGAGCAAAAAATAGAAAAAAATTGATATATTATGCAATAATGAATAATAATTTATATATTACTTACAGTCATTAAGTGCAGAAAATCAATCTGCAGAAGGTTCACATGATCTTATAAATACAAATATCAATTATATAAGTTTTAGAATATTTCTTGAATAGAAAATAAATAAATTTTTTCAATAGAAAATAAAATACATATATATTTATATACATATGCAATCAGAATAATAAATTATTTATCATATATTTTCAATAGTGTACTTATAAATTTTTAAAGATAACAAACAAAAATCTTTTTTCATTAGAATTGCAACAACAATAAGTTGCAAATAGAAAAGCATATGTTAAAAGTATTTCCAAAATGCCACAATCTTCAAAATATGCATTTTAATATATTTATGCATTTTGGCAATATTATAAAAATAAATTTGTAAAACATAAAGATAAATGCTTTTACGAAACTTTAAATTATGATATATCATTGAAGTCATGTAAAATTTTTATTTATAATTTTTAAAAGATACTTTAATTCTATATTTTATTTATATATTTTAATTTCATAATTATTTATACTATATATATGTATTTTTCAATAAGATTTCACAAATATTTTATTTATAAACATAATAGATACCAATACTGAAATGAAATGAAATAACTTATTAAATTCTTTGAGTTATTAATAAACAAATTAAATATTATGCAAGATTATGCTTGTTTAATATATGCAATGTT